CCTGACATAGGCCAAAAACTCCAATGTATTGTAGTGTCTTCTCCCACTCTGGAGAATAAAAAGTAAGAAGAAATTCATAATGTCTTCTGTTTGGAGAACAAACATCATGTAATACACTTGCAAATCGCATACGACTACCCCCCAAAAGAAGATACAAGAATCATTGACCGTTAATTTCTTCTAATTTGAATGTCTAGAGTGAAATTTAATAATTGCCTGTGTTCTTCTCCAATAAACATTAATTTGCTGGAATTAGTGAATCCAAAATTGCTGCAATGGAGAAAATTTGCAGAATTAGAATATTTTGGCAGAAATTGCAAACTCACCACCCAATGCATATGCTGCTGCTACCAAACCCTGCAAAGAGCGCATCACACCAATTAGTGAAGCAAGCAACCAAAAGTGTGATAAAGTTAGGAGAAAGAGTTTGCAAAATCTTGCATCACCAAAGATAGGAATGAGGGTCGGTAAACATTGAGGGAAAAAAAGCACAATATATCTATTTCGTTTACCTTAAGCTTTAAACTTTATACTAAACCAAAATCAATCAACAGACGCTCTAAGGTTATACTGAAACAAATGAAATGAGGTTCAATTGGAAGTACGTAAACCAAACTAAATAAGATAACATCCACTAAATACGTGACTTCACAGTTTTTGACGAAAAAATTATATGGCCAACAAAAAGTTTATGTGAGGATAGCCAATTTGTATGTCGGAAAGTCATATTCGACAAAGTGGGAGCAGAAAAAAGACGAGTAAAAGAGATATTTCATTAGGAGAAAGCCATCATTCTTGATTGAATAAGTTCGGGAAAGCAGGGTAGCAGGTGTTTCATTTGTATAATGGAAGTAAAAGAGAAGGGGAAGAAAAATGGAAGGAAGTGAACCTCTCCACTTTAACTTACTCAACCCTCATAAATAGACGGAAGCAGTACTTTTACTTTTCAGGCAATACCAAACAACATGAGGGGAAGATGAAGTATTTCCTTAAGGGAATCAAATTAGCATGACTCAGTACGCTCCCTTTCCCTTTCTTGAATCAAACATAGTGTAAATAGAAATGGGGCTTGAATGCAAGAACCAAGACCATGATAGCAGTAAAAGAGATATTTCATTAAGAGAAACCACGAGTATATAAAAGGAATCAACTAGGCAGCTGTTGGCATGTTGGAATAGTCTGGCCAACATCATCGCACAGAAGAAGAAATGGAAAATAGTTCCTATTTGCATATGGTGGACTATATGGAAGGAAAGAAATTCAAGATATTTTGAGGATAAATACAGTTCTGTTCAAAAGATTAAAATGAATTATCTACTTTTGTTTCACTTTTGGAATAAAGAGGAATTTCCAGATGACGCAAAATCTATGCTAGAGCTAGCAGTTACAGAATCTTTGTAAGAAGAACAAGGACACATGCTTTTGTGATACTCTCTTTTGGGTCGTAAATATGGCATCTAGCTCTGCCTTTGTGCTAATGATATATATACAAATTGTTACCTTTCTCGAAAAAAAAGAAAAGAAAAAAAAAGACCACGAGTACATAATTGGAGAATAGCATGTTCTTAATTACACTAAAAGAAGATGAAGCATCTCTAGAGCAATACTCTCAAGCCTTACGAATTAATATATAGGAGATGGGAGGATGGGAAACATTTGCTCATCCATAGCCATATTGTAACACAGCTGTGAAACCTGATTGGCGTAATATGTCCAGGAACTCATGTGGAGCGAGAAGCATGGAAGTAGAAGGCTAAGGAGCTAGAACATGGGAAATCTCATGCCAAAAGTGTCATCCCTATGGAATAAAGGAACTGCTGAGCATTTCAAGGTAAGGAGAAATCAATGATCCAGATACAGATGACCTCCCTAGTTTTTTTGAATGTGCAAGACATTTCTACTGTATAATTGATTGATGAGATACTATAGAGCTTCTGCTTGTAACTCTTGTATATGATGAAATAAATAAACAGAAAAACACTACAGAGGAGAAAACAAAAACAACAGATATGCTTTATAAGACTTAAATTGCATGTTACACATTCAGAAAGTATTACCACTCCGTATCCAACAAGTTGTAACGGTGTCGGGCTGATTTCCTCAAAAATTGCCTCAGCTTCCTGAAAATAACCGAATGTGGAATATTACCACCTTCTGCCCAAGACAGTTACTTAAAAGAAGTAGCTTTATGATTCTAGTCCAGTGAGTAGGTATATATCCACTATTTACCTATAAAATGACAGAGAGCACTAATGCCGATGTAAACTATTCTTTGAGAACGACTGTTCTTTCCACATTATTCTATAAGATAGATGTTTCTTTTAACTAAATTAAGGTAAAACAATATCTTTCATGGAAATGAAAAATTAAAAATAGTTCTCTAAAGTCATCAAAACTAAATAGATTTTTTACAACATTATACTCCTACGGAAAAAACTTAAATTCAACTTTCTACTTCAATCTTTCGTGAAATTCAAAATATAATTAGAAGCCTAACCGCATAAAGTTTTCTTCACATAAAAATATTATAAATAAGATCCATCTTACCAATAAAAACTTACTCAGATTATTCAAAAAAAAAAAATTAAATATAACTTACTAAGATTTAGAGGGAACTTGAATACGTTGAAAAATTTATTTGTATAGTTTCACAATCTTAAATAAATGATACTCCAAGAGAGATAAAGAATGTATGTTTAAAACCTTTTATCACGGGCAGAGGGGAGAAAGAGAGGAAAAGAATTTGCCATATCGGGTGTGTTTGGTATGAAGGAAAATATTTTCCTAAAAAATGATTTTCTAGAAAATGAGTGGTTTTATCACTTATTTTCCCTTGGTTGGTTGGTGAGTGAAAAACTTTTTACGAAAAATATATTCTAGTATTTGGTTAGAAAGTAAAAAATATTTTTTAAGAAAATAATTTTTTATGCTACTCTTCTCCCCCCGTTACCCCAAATCCCCATGTTTCTTGTGCTCTCCCCCTCCCCCCATCTCCTCCCTAGGGATGGCAAATGGGGCGGTGCGGGTTTAAGGCTATGTGGGGCGGGGTGGGTTACAATTATGCGGGTGCGGTGCGGGGCGGGTTGAAATACCTTTTCATAAAAAGTGATGTGG